TTCTGCTTTAAAAGTATCCAACTTGAGTATCTGACACCCAGAAGTGTTGAATGCTGAAGATTCCAGCAGTAATCTCTGCAAGAGAGCAAAGATCTTCCATCTTGGACTGAATACAGTGTAGTATGCTGTTTGCCTTAATAGTTGTAATTTTCAGCTCTCACACTGGTTATATGTATTGTGGCAAATAAGGAATGATAAAACTCAAAAGAACTAAGCCTTATTGTTTGATGAGTCATGCCAGTTCGAACTGTAATGCTCGGTTCACACTAGTCCCCTTTTGCGGGCAGCGGCACGGCAGCTCATTCATTTGACTGGGCTGCCATGCAACACAACACTCAAGGAAAAGATCCCTGCACCTTTCCAGAAACCACAGCCCGCACTGAGAACCGCGTTATAGTGTGGTTCCCAGTGCAGGTGATGTGTCATTAAGATTAATGGCACCCACCCACAGGTCCCGCATTTAGTTGCCAATGCAGGGGATTTTCTTCAGCAAAACAGCCTAAAGTACCAAGCAACCTGGCTCTTATTCCAGTAGTGCTGCTGTTCTCGGCTCTGGTCTCCCAGACCACAGGTTCTTCAGGCTCACTCACCCTATATTTTGCAGCATTCAGCTACACAGGCCCATTCCTGGTCTCTCATTAGTGGTTCCCCTGACACCCTGGGCTCTCCCAAGCTGGCCATAGATGGGTAGAAAATCATTTGAAATGCTCAATCGTTAGACTTTATAAATGTTAATGGACTCACTTCCGTTCTTGAAATGCAAAGATTTAGGCAAAAAAATTGAATCATTTTTTGAAGTAGTGGAATCGATCGGGAATAACACAAAAAGTTGTACTGTGCATGAGCATGTGAAATTGATTAACAAAAAAATGTACCTATTATATTGTAAACTAACAACAATATGTCATGAAGTGGGGGGAAAAATTAGTATCAATGATGGCCTGCTTATTCAACAGATCTTTATCAAATGTGAATGAATACCGGCTCCCTGCAGTCCCCTGGACTTGCTAGTTGTCTCAGCTGTATTAGTCTTGCAGACTCGCTCACCTGTCTCAACTCTCCTGGTCTTGCAGGTAAGGAACCTCTCGAACACGGAGTTCTTTCTGCTGGGTGGATCACCTCTCCTGGCTGGAGCTCACACCTAGTGTATCTCCAAAGACCCTTGAGATATGACCATATGAGTGTGTGCCCTTGGACACACAACCTGCAGGTTTCCAGGAAGATCCAAACAGGATTGGAGACTTATTCCCTCTCAAAACTCTTCAAAGTCTCCAAGCTCCAGATGTTGATGTGGGACTAACAAATCCAGAGAAAGCTACAAAAACAGTTTTCTCCACTTATAATGAATTCTCCATAGCTTCGGAGTCTGCCTCAGTGTGAATCCTGTGTGTTTTCTGCCTATGCTCACAGAGTGGCATGGCTTAATACTATCTGTCTGTCTGTCTCACTCTCTCCCCCCCCCCCTCTCTCTCTCTCTCTCTCTATACAGTTATGGGCAAAAAAAATATTAGTACCCCTGGCAAATCTGACACATTCCAAACTCCAAAAATGGACTGGACAAAATTATTGGCACCCTCAGTTTCATGTTTGGTAGCACACCCCTTGGAAAAAATAACTGAAATCAATTGCATCCTGTAGCCATCAATGAGTTTCTTGCACCTCTGTACTGGAATTTTGGAGCACTCTTCTTTCGCCGACTGCTCCAAGTCTCTCAGATTGGAAGGGTTCCTTTTCCTAACTGCTGTTTTGAGATCTCTCCACAGGTGCTCTATGGGGTTGAGATCTGGACTCATTGCTGGCCAGTTCAGTACTCTCTAGCGCTTTGTCTGAAACCGTTTCTGGGTGCTTTTTGACGTGTGGTTTGGGTCATTGTCCTGCTGTAAGACCCTTGACCTCTGACGGAGACCCATCTTTCTGACACTGGGCCCTTCACTGCACCACAGAATTCTTTGGTAGTTTTCAGATATAATGCTATGCACACGGTAAAGACATCCAGTGCCTGAAGCAGCAAAGCACCGTTCTTGGCAAGCACAGAGATGATGGACCCTTGAGTGTGAAGTCCATCAGGCTATTGTTCAGATGTATCTGCTCTTCATTTTCAAATCTCACTGGATACTTTGGACCATTCAAAAACCAAATCTCACTGACTTTTAAAGACCATGCAAAGCATCATGGCCACGAGCTGTATAAAGAGGATGGCAGAGGTATTGCTGAAAGCAGAGGAAGCAGAGAGGGAACTCCAGACTAGACTACATATATCCTTAAAGGGACCTCCAGCTGACTACTGAGAGTATATATCTCTAAATGCGTGATTTGATTGCGCATCTGGTGAGTATGCAATTCTTACATTACCTGGCACATCACCATATCATTGGATAGATGATATCGATCACCAGCATTTGAGGTCATTATTGGATCTTCCATATATCACCTTATGGACATTCATTTGTCACTATTGGCACTTCGTTTAGCACCAGTGGTCACTGCACAGTGACAGAGTATAGTGTCATCACTTAATCACTTTATGGACTTATTATATTATATATTTAATACCACTTTTTGCACCCCATCAGTCACTTTATATTCTATTTGACACTGTGATATTTTTATTTATTTATTCATGTGAATATTGCATTGGCACTTTTTATATATATATTATCATCAGTTGTGTGATATTTATATTCAGCGCTGCACCCTTATATGAAGAAACAAAACCAGAACTTTTCTCCTGCGCTCCGGGACCCAGGCCGGTGGCGAGTAGGGAATTAAAACCTCCAGAGAGGCAACCACCGGAGTATCCAAAGTCGTGCAGCTCCAAACCAAGGCTGGGGAAGCCTGAACAAACTGTGAAGTGAAACAAGAAGAAGCGCACCAACCTTGTGCATTACCTCAGTAACCAAAATTTATTTAATGAAGGAATGGTACTCACAAACAGCGAATAAAAACAGGCATATAAGTCCACCCAGGGACTTCAAAGGCAAGAGGCCAGCGCGAATCCCATCATGGGTGTAGGTACTCAGTCCAGCTGACGCGTTTCGAAGGTCAAGCCTTCTTCCTCAGAGCTGACTGGACTGAGAGTGTATGCTCCCATTTATGCCCACAGACTGAAATGGGACCCTCCCAAATGGGTTGGGCTGTCCTGGGCCGGGGGGAGGGGCCCGGGTATCAACAAATGTTCTTAGTCAGCTCTGAGGAAGAAGGCTTGACCTTCGAAACGCGTCAGCTGGACTGAGTACCTACACCCATGATGGGATTCGCGCTGGCCTCTTGCCTTTGAAGTCCCTGGGTGGACTTATATGCCTGTTTTTATTTGCTGTTTGTGAGTACCATTCCTTCATTAAATAAATTTTGGTTACTGAGGTAATGCACAAGGTTGGTGCGCTTCTTGTTGTTTCACTTCACAATACATTGTGTAATAAAATGGAATGACCCGGGGAAAAAGTATTGAACACGCTAACTGAAATTTATTTAATACTTAGTACAAAATCCTTTGTTGGTAATGATAGCTTAAAAACACCTCATGTATGAAGAAACTAGTTGCATGCATTGCTCAGGTGTGATTTTGGCCCATTCTTCCATACAAACTGTCTTCAAATCTTTACGGTTATGTGGGCCTCTTCAGTGAACTCTGATCTAATTATTTCCATAGATTTTCTATTGGATTCAAGTCAGGTGATTGGCTGAGCCATTCTAGCAGCTTTATTTCCTTTCTTTGAAACCAATTATGTTTCCTTGGCTTTGTGTTTGGGATCATTGTCTTGCTGAAATGTCCGCCCTCGTTTCATCTTCATCATCCTGGTAGATGGCAGCAGATTTTTATCAGGAATATCTTTGGTACATTTTTCATTCAACCTTCGTTTAAGGAAGTACCAGTACCGTATGCTGAAAAACGGCTCCACACCATGATGTTCCCAGCTCCAAACTTCACTGTTGGTGTGTGGTTTTTGGGGTGATGTGCAGTGCAGTGCCATTTGACTTCCAAACATGGTGTGTATTATGGCATCCAAAAAGTTAAATTTTGGTCTCATCTCACCAGGCTACATTCTCCCAGTATTCACAGGGTTTTCTAAATGTTGTGCAGCAAGCTTTAAGTATTACTAAACCCAGGACCCTGCAGTCACTATATCTGGTCTCCCACAGTACATAGATCATGAAAGTGCAATTATTTTAGTATATGTAAACTGATAAATCTCATCAGCAGTTAGAACAGTCTTGTGACTTCAGCTGAGCACTGGTTAAAGCTTGTAGGATGAGTTTTCTTTCTGCTCTTGGAGGATGCAGAACCCCTGGCCTCTGTCTGGACAGTGCTAATGAGCATTGTGCTGATTACATGCACTCTCCCAAGATAAAGAAAACCTCTAGCAATACACACTAAACAGAGCATGTGCAGAAGGGCTACGGGTTCAGTCTGTCTTATCAGCATGGACATTTGAACAAGAAGGGCAGAACACTGATATTGTGTGTGCGGATTATATATGGCTGGTATTCCAGTTCTTGATTTATGTTGGAAAATAGGAAGAAGACTAAAATTTTTGCACTGCATTGCCTTTCACTTTATGTGATGCTTTATATCATTGAAAAAAGTGCAAAATGCCACTGTAAGGTAACAGTCAGCTGCACATTTAGGTAAAATTATAGTTTAGTCCACCAAACGTCTAGGTTCAGTAATTTCTTGGCCTCTTATATCTCTTGGTGATTCCACTGGTTAGACATCAGTGTTGTAGTTTCAGGTGTTGCCCTCTCTTGTCCTCTAGTACATGTTCAAAATATAACATTGAAGAAATCCAAAAGGAAGAGTAAGGCCTCCTCATCATTGGTGTGATAGGTGCATGATACAGGGAATTTAGATGCAAACATTACACCATTGGGTTTTTTTGAGATTCAGAAGAAACCAAGGAATGACCCAAACATCTAGTAGTGTCCAAAGCTATTATTTTATTTGGGTGACCTTTTGATAATGAATATCTTTTGACTCCACATACTTTTTTCCCCTTCTTTAGGCAAAAGTTACCGGTAGCACGTTAAATGGAAAGAAGGAAAAAATCCATGCTGAAGAGGATGACAAGGAAAAGTGGGACTTCTTAAGTTTTGCCAAGTCGTGGACCCCGAATGAAGACCTGGATGATCTAAAAGATCAGATACTTTTTACTCACGTAAGAACCCATGTTTAATCACTCCAGAATGGATGTGGTTTTCTAGCTTTCTCATTGCCTTCCTAAAGGAGGTTTCCAGGAAATAGCTAAGCACGTTTTGTGTGTGGCTTATTCAGGGTCTTTATAGAAAATATATTAAAACTGGAATACCCTTGAGCTTTAGAGATGGAAGAGTGGCTTTGGTACAATCGTGGTACATTGAAGCAAAAAGCAGAATATGCATATGTGCTTAACAAATATAGCTGCCCCATGTGCATGTATAGTTACAAACACAGAAATAAGAATAAACAAACTTTTTTACAATAAATAAAGGCATCTAAATAATCACATGATGTGCAGTACCCTCTGTCTCACTGGATCTTCTTCCAGGACTGGGTGCTCCTTAATGATGCAGAGAGTTGTGATGTGATGAAGTTGGTGCTGCCATCTGCATTGAATGTGAGAGCATGGCGCTATGGTAATGCCTCCTTAAAGTGGAAATAAACTCCCACTGGACACTTGTACCTATGGGAAAGCTGTAAATCTTACCTGTAGGTACAAGCAATATCTCCTTAACATACAAAGTTCAGGAGATTTTCAGTGTCTTTGCAGCTGGTGATGTCACCGGCGCATGTGCTGTGAAGGAACGGCATAGACATGCCATTCCTTCAGGGCTCTGTGCTGCAGCTGAGACTCCCACACCCATGTGCTGGAGTGACGTCATCACGGCTCGGCCAGTCCAGAGCCCTTGAACCGGGAAGGAAGACCAGGTGAAGATGAAATCTCTGTCACTGCGCCACTGGAGGGCTTCATTCTAAGTGAAGTATTTCATAATGTGCTAGTATGCAATGCACCAAGGCACTACAACAATTATTATAAAAAGTTGAACAATTTTATTACTATCACTTAAAATAAAGGGCACAGTTGAAAAAGATATATGCTTCCATATATGATTATTATATTGCCTTAATCATAAAAAAATCCCATCCAGCACCTCCTAGCACCCTAAGCATTAGTATATTTAATTCCATATTTCAGGGAGTTACATATATTCATATATTTAATTGTAGATTCCAAGGAATTACATATATACTGTTGAATAATTAGGTGGAAGACTAGGGATCTGTAACTCTCTACACATTTCTCAGATGAACACTGCTTCTTCAGGAGAGTAACAGAAGACAGTTCTGAACTAGACATAATAAAACATTTAAATATCATGCATAAGTGAATGTAAAATTCCATATACCTATGGCCTTCATAGCAGAGCAGATATTAAACACATGGTAAAGCTTATATAAGGTTTTAGTGATTGGATTTACATGCCCTTAAAGGTGACCTTTGGCTCCTTGACTTTCCAGCTTAGTAAAGCTAAATGGAGAGAAACATAGATACATATACAATAAACCAAGTTGAGACAGGTTCTCTAAACTGCTGTATTTGAATATTATTAAGGAAAAAAAAAGATGTTTCTGCTGCGTAATATTCTGCTTATTAAGTTTAGTACAAAGGGAGGGAGAAAGGAAATATGATAATACAATGAGCACTGTGCCTGGAGACCTAATGAGATGCTAGATTGCTGAGAGCCAAGTTGGTTGCTACCAGAATTTTTAATGGTGTTGCTGTGTACATTGCACAGTCGTTGCAGTAATGAGTGCTCTTAAGTGAATGGGGGATTGTTATAAGTTTTCACATAACTTTTTATTCTATTTTTGCTTTGTTTTTCAAGATAAATTTAGAACAGCACGGCTTCCAGAAATCCAGGACTCAGTAACTCAGCCTTTGTTCATTAGCGCACCCAAGGAAATCACACTATTGTGAGAACTGAAGTTCTGTTGATCTTTTGGCCCCCCATCCGTTTATGTCCCCCTATAGTTTGTCAGACAGTGACACCGTTTTAGTTTGAGAAGGTCGTTTTTCTCTCCTCGTCATCCAGCATTGATTCATTCATCCTTTTCTCTCCTGTTATCGTGGGCTTGAAAGGTTTCTGACGAGTCGCTTTGGTATGCAGCACACCTTTTTTTATGTAGCTAGTAGGATGGGAAATTTATTTTCAACTGACGGCCTGCTGAATATGAGGTGATCACCAGCTTGTAGACGAGCCATCAGTTTTGACATAAAAAGACGGGGGCCGGTCAGCTCGAGCTTCTGCCGTCTCTGTTTTTGTTAATCCTTATTTGACATCTCTGCTTATTTGGAATTGTCAAATTAATGGCAGGATTTTCACATAACAAGGTCATAGATTACAAAATCGAAGGTGTTGGGTGAAACCTTGAATTTTGTAGGATCGTGAAATAGAAAATGTTTGTGGCAAGCTCAAGTAGTTGGAGGGCATCATATAAAATAGCTGCAGATCTGTATTGCTGTCATATGCAAATGTCACAGATTGGTTTTCTCTTGTTTGCTTTTTAATAGCTAATTAAAGTATGTTCATTTAACTAACGTTGCAAGCCTGAAATACTTGAAGGAGCTGCAGTCCCCAGTTATATGGTCTGGCCCTCCAAGCCCCCCCTCAAGGGCCGCACCATGTTTAAATATCCAGCGCATGCGCAGATACGCGCTGAGGTGGGAGATCTGGCAGAGATCAGCAGAACATCACACACCTGAGGTTGATGTTTCGTCTTAATTGCACAGAAACCCCTGAGATCCAGGACCTCATACCTTTGTCATCTTCACACATGCAAGGGAAAAGTCCTGCCTGTGTGCAGGCATGCCATCAGGTCCCTGGTGGTTTCTGAAGCTCTGCACACATCTGTGCACTTGTGTAATCCAGTGGTGTGCAAGCCCCATCAGTGCAACACCATTCTCACCTAGGCGACAAAGGCAGAAGTGCTGAATTGCAGCACTAAAAGTGTCCAAAAACACCTTTTTATGGTCTAATTGTGGAAGAGGTGGGAGAAGAAGACCAATGAAAACTAACTGCTTAAATCTGGGAAGGTCTGCTTTAAAGTATGTCTGCACGTGCTCGTGTGTATGTATGTATAGAAGAGAAATCTAAATCAAATCGATATTTGGTGTGACATTTGGCTTCAAACCAACATACATTTTTACAAATGTACAGTTACACAAAGTCAGGGATACTGTAGGATTATAAGCAGGTGTATTAGTTACCAATTATACCAAGCAGTTGCTAATAATCATCAATTTTATATGTAGGTTTAAGCACAGTCATTTACTGAAACAGAAACGGCTGTGTAGGAGGCTTATAGCTGCGTGAGGAACTGCCAGCTTTGCTACTAAGGTGAGGTTGTGGAAGACCCTTTCATGTCAATGGTCATACACCATGGCACAGCAACAATACACAAGGTAGTTATCCTGCATCAGCAAGGTTTCCTCCAGGAGAAGATTTCAAAGCAGACTGGGGTGTCAAGATGTAAGCTCTTTTGAAGAAGCACAAATTAACAAGCAACCTTGAGGATCGCAGATGCAGTGGTCGGCCAAGGAAACTTAATGCTGCAGATGAACGATGCATCATGCTTTCTTCCATTGGAAGATGTGCAGCAGTGCCATCAGCACAGAACTGGTGGAAACTAGAGGTCCCCGGGTACACCCATCTACTGTCCAGAGAAGTCATTGCAAAAATGTGGCAAAAAAAGCCATGCCTCTGACGTGGAAACCAGTGTAAGTGACTCATCTATGCACAAAAAATATGAACTGGAGTGCAGAAAAATAGTAACAGGTGCTCAAGGCTGATGAGACAAAATGTGAAATATTTGGCTGTAGCAGGAGGCAGTTTGTTGGGGGAGGGCTGTAGAGTGGTACAATAATGAGAGGGCCTTTACTAAAGCTGGTTCACTCAGAATCTAGTGCACCTGTGTATGGTAGCCAATCAGCTTCTAACCTCAGCTTGTTCAGTTAGGCTGACCATACATTATACAATTTTCTTAAGAATTTTGCTTTAGATTTACCAAAAACCAATAATATGAGGTCAAATCTAAACAACACTTTCAATTGTATCCAATTAGGCAGGACCTTGAACTGCATAGTTGAAGGTAAATCTAACAGAAATTGGACAGAAAATTGTATAGTGTATTGCCAGCCTTACGCTTTAGCAATAAAACCTGTAGGCTGACTGGTTTCCATGCTAAAGTGTACGAGATTCTGAGTGAACGACATTTAGTAAATAAAGTCTTCATATGGCTGATAAATATTACTGTCCAATCTGAAGTAATTCCAACCGCATTCTCAGCATCCATTAGAGACACAGGGTGACTTGCACATAAGAGGGATATGGGGAGCTGAGACAGGGGTCTCGCAACCTCTGCAAAGTAAGTTGGGTTCCATGAGCCCCCACCCAAAGTGACTCCTGTCACACTAGGTTTTTTCATGTGGTCCTGGTCCAGGAGGTAAATTGTGACACCTGGATGATGGCAGAACAAATATGGCTCTGTCTTTCTGAAGAGAACAGCAGATGAAGGCATTGTCAGGGGGAGTACTGTGGTCAATAAATATCTGAAAGTGCTACTTTTACCTTATATTTAGCATGCATAGACTTAATATGAAATCCTATATCAGATGGTATGTCCACTTTAAGTCGTTCATTGCAAACCAGCAATTATAATTCTGTACTTTTGTTTCTGTAAAAACGTTGCTTAGCAAAGCCCAGCTACGAGGCCAGAGTTTGAGGAGAAATGTCAGGCATCCCCAGCAATGTCCTTCACCGCAGGCAGCTTTTCCTCTATTGTGAGATGAGAGAGATGGATGTGTAAAGAGCGCAATGTTTCTTAGTACAACATTGGAACTTATTATTATAATAAAGACAGATCCTCCCAGTTAGCACCCTCTTTCAGAAAGTGCTGTGGCCTGACCTGTCTTAGTATATACAGTTGTGTCCAAAATTATTCAACCCCCACTGAAATTGAGTGTTTTGGCCAGTTTGACATTGCTTTTGATCATTCAGTCATCTTGCTTACATTTACATTAAAGAGGCACTTGTAGGTCAGACAAATATAACATAACAGTTATAATGAAATAACCACAAATGTCTTTTCTGTGCTCACAGCATTATCAGTTTTATTCAACCCCCAAGTGACATTCAA